ATACGTAGACCCAGACTATCTAGTAAGGTACGGGTTGTATGGATGGTGTCTAGTAGTCCTTCTCTGGATTGCGAGACCAACAGCCAATCATCGAGGTACGGGTAAATTTGTATGCCCTGAAGGCGTAGGAAGGCACAGACAGGAGCCACACATTTGGTAAAAACTCTCAGAGCTGAAGCCAGTCCGAAGGGTAAAACTTTGAACTCATAAAGTTGGTTTGCAACAGCAAAACGAAGGAAATGCCTGTAATTTGGATGAATTGAAATATGAAAGTAGGCGTCCTTCAGGTCCAGTGAGGTGAACCAATCCCCTCTCCTTAACAACGGCAAAATGTTTTGAAGGGTGGTCATACGAAACTTTCTCGGTATAATAAACTTATTCAAGTCCAGTAAATCCCAAATCGGGCGTAGACCACCGTCCCGCTTGGGGACCGTAAAGTATCTGGAATAGAATCCGTGGAGTCCGTCAGATGGGAATACTTGACGAATCGCTCCTTTAAGGAGAAGTTGATGCATTTCGTCGAGAAGTACCGGCGAACATGAAGTAGACCAGATCGGACTCGATGGAGGAACGATGTCGGATTCTATTCGATAGCCATGTTGAACGATGGATAATACCCACCGGTCAGATGTGATGGACTCCCAAATGGGGAGTCGGCTTCGGAGCCGATCCCCAGCTGAGAGGGGGGTGGGTATTAGAGGAGCGTGAGGAGTGGTTCGCCAGTCCCGTCAGCGCTGTCTCCGATCGTCGAAACGACGGCGGCCCTGTTGGAAGCGCTGTTGGGGCTGAGGGCGGCGGCGCTGCTGCTGCTGTTGCTGGCGGTGTTGCGGCAGCTGTCTCTGTTGGTATGTCTGCCTGTAGGATGGCCGATTCCAGGACCACTTACGTCTGCTATGTGACTGGATCTCCATCCTGCATGCCGTCATTCTTGACTTGTGCAGTTTCTTGAGTCTGTGGTCTGTACGCGAATGGAAGAGTCCGGAACCATCAAAAGGCATCTCTTCTATTCGCCGCTTGGTTTCCTCCGGGAAATTACAATTCCGAAGCCATGCGTGTCTCCGGAGGGAAACGGCACCGACCAAGGCCTGGGAGTCAGTGTCCATGTGGTGACGTGCCATGGACAACTGCTGCACCGCGACCTGCATGGCTTCTTTGATCAGGACCTTCGCAAGGTCACCCTGGTGGTCTGGGAGGGTGGAGGCGATGTTGTGGAGGCGCTGCATAATAAAATATTGATATTGCGCCAACGTCGCCTCGTAGTTAGAAATGCGAAGTCCTAAGCCCAAGGCAGCATAAACCCGCCTGGCCAGGGAATCTATTTTCCGGCTCTCCTTATCCCTCGGTGCCGGTGCCGTATGTCCCCTTGCCTCCCTGCCTTGCGAGGATTCGACGACCGCCGAGTTTGGTTTCGGGTGCTTTAGCAGGAAAGGGATGTCTTCTTCCCTGACCCTGTACATAGATTCATATCTCCTGGACGTCGGCTGAGGATGTGAAGGTAAGTCCCAGGGCTGCGTCATCGCCTGCCGCAGGGTAGTTATAAGTGGCAGAACGATAGAGGTTGATTGCTCTCTGCGGACGACGTCGTAAAACTTGTCCGTCAACGGTCCCGGGCGCTGGGCAGCGTCGATGTCCAGGGACTGGACAAGCCTCGACATCAGCTCCGCGAAGGAGACGTGTGACTCATCGGGAGACGCAGGATCCTGGGATGTCACCACGACGTCCGGGGAGGTTGAGTCTACACCAGAGTCATCCGAATCAGCACCATAGTATGGCGGGGCAGAAGATGATGACTCCGCCGGTGATAAGGAGCGGCTGCTTCCGCTCTGCGGGGATCGAGGCGGCACCCTCCTCGAATCCACAGACCGCCATTGGTCACGGGGCAGAGGTGAGGATCGCGCTCTGGGAGCAGGGTAGTACCCCACAGAGAGCGGGTCTCCCCAAGGTTGGTAGTAGGGACGACGCCAACTCTCCGGGCGTTGCTCTACCGAGCAGCTCCTCCGATTCCCTGGTGGGGACAGGCCAGCTTCTGTCTCCAATGTCACCGTGGGCATCGGTGTCAGTGACCTCGCTCTAGGAGGGGAGTCCTGGATTTCCCTATCCGAGATAGACCCCCGTAGAGTTGGAAGCGGTGCTGGCGGGAGGTCGACCGCACGTCAGGGAGACCCCTGAGGGGTGACTCGCATGGCCTCTTGAAGGATCGGTTTGGGCGGGGTCGGTATCGTAACCGCCACCGGTACCGAAGGGCCCGTCGGCTCCGAGTCCCGATTTCGGGGACAGTCCGTAGACTTAGCCTTCTTTGGAGGCTTAGAGGCCTTTTCCTTTCTGGCCTTCTTATGTCCTGCCGGCTTCTCTTCGGCGCTTCTCATGCCTCTTTTTTGGTGAGGCAGAGGGGGCCAGCGAAGAGGATGCACCTTCATCCGAAGGGCGTGAGGGTGGAGCCACAGAAGCGGAGCCCGGTTTTGGGATAGAGATGAGCGGGTCTGATTGCATCAGGGCCCTATCCCAAAGGAGCCTCCAAAGCCGGTTCTCGTGGTTCTTCCTAGCCTGCTTAGAGAAGGCTAGGCAATGAACGCACTTATCCATCCTATGCCCCTCCCCAAGGTGGGGAGGTGCCATTAGGTGCCATTTTTGACCCGCAGTCCGCACATTTGCAGAAAGCCGCCCGCTGTGCCATCGCAGAAGAAAGAAGAAAAAGAGAGATAGTGCAGAGGGTAAGTATATATTTTTGTTTTTTTTTTAGATTGAAGAAGAAATGAGAGAAAACTACACAGAACGGGAAACGAAGTAAGGGGAAAGTAGTTTAAGGGCAATATATAAGGAGAGAACCAAGAATAGCCAAAGCGAAAGTTGAAAGCGGCACAAGGCACAGCGAACGGCGGTCGCAAAGACTGAACAAATGGCGGACGCACCGCTCTTTATAGGCCATGGGGGAGGGGAGCGGAGCTTCCCGCCAAAAACCGTTAGCTGTCAATCTTCCGGCCAAAGGCACTGCACAGGCACAGTACCCATATGTGTGATGCACAGAGGCCACGACGAAGAACTGCATTTAACCCAACCCAGTGCTCCCAAACATATCAGATTTCAGTTTCCAGCATCCCCAGCTAGCCATACTGTAAATTGCAGTCCAACACATCTGAAGTGCACTAGGTTGGGGAAGGCTTGTGGAAAAGACTTAACAGCTGCACAGCACAGCCATTTAGGCATGAGTTTTAGATCTTTTGAGGACTGAAGGAGCAGATTCTTCTATACTTTTGAAAGCAATGTTCATCTATATATAGGTAAACATACAACACTTTAGTTGCTTAAGAGATGTGTCATGGGCCAAATGAGGCACATGGACTATGAACATGCCATTTCTGCTATACTTGTGTAAATGAGTGACTATATTGTTCAAAATCTGAATATTGGCACTGGGGCTAAGACCTGGTTCAAATTCAAGCACAGCTCCAATCCTCCTCATTGGCTAGGTTTGCACATGGTGAATTAAATGCCACAGTAGTACTCATATATTGTATAGTCAGAATCTAGCACTCTTCCCACAGTATGGCTTATAAGTCAACTCAACTAGCCATGGCTTGTTGTATGGTTTAATAACCTCACTTTGGTCTATTACGTTGTCCAAACCCAACAACAAATTAAACCAAGGTTGAAAAAAAAAAAAAAAAACACAGAAACCCTTGCAAGAGTGGCGGAAAGGATTGCTGCTCTAGCCAAAGGGCCAGTGGGTGACCACTTTTCCCAGGTACCTGAGGTTCCAGAGCAGCACTTGGGGACAGCTGGTAAAGTCTTCCTCCCTCTTGTAGGCAGGGTGAGTTATTTAGAGTTGGCCACAGCTTGCTATGCTATGCTAGTTGCGAAGTCGCATCCAAACCATTGCAACCCCATGGACAACATTCCTCCAGGGTCTCCTATCCTCCACCATCCCCCGGACTCCACCTAAGCTCACACTGACTGTTTCAGTGACTCCATCAAACCACCTCATTCTCTGTCGTCCCCTTCTTCATTTGCCATCTATTGTTCTCAGCATTAGGGTCTTCTCCAGTGAGTCCATTCATCTAGCCCCCCTTACTCATGATGTGCTCTGCATATAAGTTAAATAGGCAGGGTGACAGTATGCAGCCTTGCTGTACTTCTTTCCCAAGTTTGAACCGATCAGTAGTTCCATGTCCAGTTCTCACTGTTGCTTCGTGACCCGCATACAGGTTTCTTAAGAGACCAGTAAGATGAAGACTGAAAAAATGTGAAGTTAGCCTCCCTGTTCCTGTACTGGGATCCAGATGAACCCCTAAGGATGTCCAGTTATAACTTGGTAGGGGGTATCCACCCTCTAGTTTTAAATTAAGGTATTCTTGTCCTCCCCTTTGCATAGTGCTGACCTGGCAAAATATGACTGGGGAATTCACAGAAAGGGGCTGTTGTCCTCCTCTGGCCATGAGATTCCTTGGCTTCTTTGGGAGAGGTCTGCTCCACCAAATGTTGACTGTGCATCCCTTCTGCTAAGTAGTGAGGACACTTGAAATCTTGGGGTAACCACTATGTGAGGAGGCAGTTTTGTCCCTTTAAATCACAAGAGCTCCCCACCACCAAGGTTTTCCTCAGGTTTTGCTCCTTCACAAAGAGCTATCCACTCAATGGCAAATTGCAAAGCTGAAGGGGCGGTTGGGCCTTCCTGATACCCCACAAACTGTTGGAATCCTACTTGGAAGGGGATAGAATAGAGGTATCCTCAGACTAGTATGGTTTACAGGTTCTGGGAAGTTCCTCTTTTTGGGGAGGGGGCTTGTGTCTCTGTGTTATCCACACTTGAAAGTGAGGGCAGCCCGGAGCACATGAGCTCCACCCAAAAATCCTTGAGGATTCTGCTGCCAAGTGTGTTATGACCCACTTTAAAAAAATACTCTGAAAAAATAGCAATGGGCTACAAAGTTGCATGGACAAAGTGCCCATCATACCAAATTGCAAATTTTTCAAGCATATCAACTTAAAAAAATGCCAAGACATGCTTTTTGTGAAGTCTTTATTAAGCAGAACATAACTAGATTATGTCAAGTAGGTTCTTTCCACTTAACATGCATTGTTACTTTCTTAAAAGCCAATGTAGGATTTGCTTCTCTTCCTCCTCCCTACCCACATGGTACCCAACTTTGTGGTGTTTGCTCAAGGTATAAAAAAGTAGCATTTCATTTGGGAGATGGAATTAAAAATTTTATTTAAAATGTTAAATATTTATAAAAATCTAGGATATATTTACAGTATTACCAGGCAGGCACAGGAGCACAGTGTGATGTAGAAATTACAAGTCAGAGGGGCATGCCTGCCCAAGGGCTTTAAAAATATGGGCCACCATTGGCTTTGGGGCTGATAAGCCAAAGCCTCCAGCTCCATACATTGATTTCCCCTGCAGTTTTCCTCCTAAATTTGCCCTTCTTTACAGTAGCACATCAATACAGGACACAGTTTTAGTGCAGGAGTTACTGAAATACTGGCCAAAAAAGGTGCATTTGGAAAATAACACAGAGAAAGTTTGCATATTTCAGTGCACTTTGTTTTCAGACAGTGTTTTTGGAATCATGTCACCTTCTTTTGTATCTCACCTTTTCTAGAGATACACCTGTGTTCACAGATGAGCAAGCAACTTGCCAGCTGCTACCAATAGCTACCTACATGAGTAAGTTATTTTCTATCCAATCAGTAGTCTTCTAGGAGCCCCTAAATAATGTCCAGCACAATATATAGGGGCAAAAATCACTTTTAAATCTGCTTGGACACCTTTCAAACTTTTTTACAGGCAAATAAAGCTCAAAGCAACAAATTTATATTCATCATACCATAAAAAAGTCAGACTTCATTAAATGCTTCATATAATAAACTGTAAAGTAGCCAGCCAGGATGTAGGCAATTCCCCCTATTTACTCTGACATGCCAAAGAACGTCTACCTTGTAAGATTAACGTGGTGACTATTAGCATTCCAGCCAATATTTACCAGATTAGAGAGAAAATGCAAACTTCTTGTTGAAATGAACTTTTACCATCAGGGCACAATTTTCTAATATACTTTGTGATAACAGTAGAGACCATGTGCATGATAAAACTTTGTGGGTGAACCTACAAGTCCGGATGCCTTGACTAAGAATTAGCAGTCATCCTTTAAGCTTGATAGAATGACCTACTAAGCACATGAACGGACCTCAAGTCATGTTAGATTACTAAAAGGCAGAGTGCATTCGGCAATAAACTGATCCTTTAGCACAGAAATCAAGTTGTTTAATTTTAAGGCCTTTCATAAAGTAGTCTCACATACTTTAAGGAGTCAAATAGCATTAAAGTTGGTTAAAGAAACAATTGCCCCCAATTTCCAGAACATAGTCATATTTCTCCCAGTGTCACTGCACAGACTGTTTCGGATTTTCACTTCACTATTTGGTATGCATGCCTGAATACAAATGTGTGTCTTTAAAATATATGTCAGCAGGAACCTGAGCTTTACCCAACTGTATGCATTTTGAAAGGGCAAGCATATTTTCATACATGTATTTGCAAAACACACTATACTACATACAGTCTAGAATTCATTCCCAGGAGTATCTGTTTGAAATGTACCCCTTAGACAGTACACTTAAATTGCTTGAACCCCCTCCCCAAGCCAAAACACAAATGGAAAAAGAACCCATTCCTCATTTAGATGATGGTCCTATAGATTTTGTAGTCCAGTCCCGAGGCAGCCAACACATTATTGGATACAGACCTAATACAGCAGGTAGCATCCAAATACTTAGCACTGTTTAAAGCAGAGGACAGTGGTGGATATTGCTAACAGATGTACTTGATGAAGACCATTCATTGCCAAGCTTCCTAAGCTGAGATGCAGCACTTCATGCTATAATGAGATTTGTGGGGCATAAAGGAAGAAAGTTGCTACCAGGTATATCAACTTATACATCAGGAGATCCATTTGATCCCCCCAAGTTAGTGCTTTTCTTCCCATTGTGCTTGCTCTGGGGGTGGGAACCCACATCAACAGGTAAAGAGGTAACTGTCACACAGCAAGTGCTTTTTCCTAGCTTTTCCATCTGAGCATGAAATTCAACATGCAAGAGCATTTTTTTTGATATAACCATTTAGGTGATTTAAGTCAGGCAAATGGAAGCTAAGTGCTTAATTACTGCAATGCAAGCAAATTGGCTTGTGGTACAGCAAGAACTATGATGGTAACAATAAGTCTGCAACCCTCACTGTCCATTTCTGGATCAGGTAGCCAAACCCATTGAGTTGATACATTTCAGTGTAGTGCTGGCCTTCTGGAATATTCCAGTAGGGAGGAAAATAGTCTATCTGCTCTTTCAACAAGAGACCACCTGTTATCCTAACTACCGATAACAACTGCAACTACTTTTCCCAGAGGTAGATCATACAGGCAGTAAAAAGCCCTCTCAAAACCTGGGGAAGTTGCTTTTTTCACTCCCTTAATGATATCATATTGTGCACCATACTGATTGTGAGAACAGTGGGGTTCCAAGAATGATGCTATCAATTATCCTGGAAGAAGAAGTTGGTATAGAAGAGACAATCCTGATGTTGTGACAGACAGTTGCATCCTATGGTAAATATTAAATACTGGTCTTTTTATATGCCATCCCTACCTCAAATATACTAGTGGTCAGTCTACAAAAGAATGCAAAGAAAAACAGTAGACAAGGCTGTAGGATTTGTCTCCTGCAGTCTTCTCCCCTTCACTTAGAACATAACCAAACCAAAACCCTTCTGAGGAACATCAGTCCATAATTCACTGTACTGTCCCTGCACAGAAACAGAAATCTTCTGTTTCTGAAGGCAGACATGAAGAGTTCAGTTTGGAGGTAGCTTGAACACCACCTTAAATAATCTATCCAGGTAAGCTGTCCTGCATTCTTTTCAAGTATTATTGAAATACTTTGGCAAATGCAGCTGCGGACACTGCAATCAATAAAACCATGCTCAAGCACAACCTGCATTTACTGTTAAATTTTATACAAACTCTTTCCACCCAAACAATTTTGTAGTATATTGAGACTGCTTCTGTGCACATGTATTTCTATTTACAAGGAGAGAAACAAAAAAAAACTAATGAAGATTTTTCAGCCACTAAACAAGTAGTCTTATTCTGAACCAGTGGTAGCAGGTTTCTTTGCTGAATTCTTAGGGAATGGTTCTAAAATTATTTAGTTATTTTATTTGGTCCCAAGGTCTGCTCTGTAAGTTAGAGCAGCAGTGCATTTACAACTGCTGCAGGAAGCACTGATCTCTGCACACCTTACCTTCATACCTTACATGTTTGCTGCATAAGACACTGTTTATAACACCAAAGTTTCCAAAAACAGTTGTAATATATTGTGCTACCCTTTAACAACTTGACAATATAAAAATGTGGAATGTCACTCCCAATACTTCTCAGTAATTCTGGACAGAAGAAACCTTGGAATGGTGGGTATATATAACTTAACGCCATCATTGAGCATTAATACAAACTGGGGGTGGTAACAGATTTTTCAGAAGAGGTACTGTTAAAAGCAAGTGAAAAACCACAATTTCCAGCAAAACCAGTTTTTAGTGAATATTTTTCAAGCTATTTCAAGATACCAAGAATATGGATGAAATGAAAATTTTCAGTTACTATTTTGACTCTCTCTTCCTGCGTATTGGTAAGCCCGCATGGGTAAGAAGATAAAGCATGACTTTTTTTGTACTGCTAAATTTCAAAATTTCTTAACATGTTCAATATACACAATCAGATGCTCAGTGCCAGCTAATGCCTTGTACAGCACAATGCTTCACTCTGCCTTTGCTTCAAGCCTTGGTAAATTGTATTGCAAGTATTAGCAATTACAATCTGTCCTTTGGTCAAATACTATTTCTTAATTCTGATCATACTTTGGGGGTCTTACTCTTGATATAAAGTTCTTGACACACTGAAGGGGAAAACAAAGGCTAACAATTTTGAGGCAGAAGCTCTTCAGGTGAACTAGCAAACCTTCAGAATATCTCAATGTTAGGAATAATCATTTGCAAAAATCAAGGGCGGGGGGGAAATGAAAAAATCTTCTAATTGAAAAATGTTACACTTCTGTGGTTAAAGAATACAGCAGTAATTCATGGATATTGAGACTTCATGATGTGTGTATGCTCATGAGAGAGAGAAAAAAATATGAATGGGTTTAGACAACATGATAACCCACACATGTGGGTTGAGGTGTGGTCATCAACGTCTTACACTCAGCCTATATTCAATCCTTCAGCATGAGTTATGTAGTCTGAGCCCAATAGGGTAGCCTTTTAAAACACTTCCAATTGTCAGGTATTCCTGTATCAATCAATTAATTAATGTTTCAGCATAACTTGCTTCTGGGAATGACATTTTCCAATGCGATTTTTCTAAAAAGCAATTCATTGTCTTTTTGCTTCAAAGGCTTATTGTAAACATTTTGGGAAAAATCAATAGGATTAAGATATTTAAACTGGGAAAAGTAGGAAAGGCTAAACTAAGAGATCTTTCCTCTGATAGGAAGAAATGATTCAAATATGATTCCTCAGAAAAGCAAAAGCCACAGGAGGCAAGAATAGGCCTGGTTTGCATGTAAGAAGAAGCCACTGTGAGTGAATTTTCCCATGGGCCTTTTTATTGAGGCAGCTGTTGCCATTCTGAATATCTGGGGCACAGCAGTGCAAACTGTAACTTCTTTTTTATGTGTGAACTCAGAAAGAAGGGTTGATGGGATAGTTGACAAGCCACCCAGTACTTGCTAGCTGTTTTAGGGTTGTGGGTGGCTTGTCAACCGCCCCAATAGCCCACTCATCCTGGCTTTGTACATAACAAGAAGCTATGCCTTTGCCCAATATTCAAAATATCAGCTGCTCTAACAGGAAGACCTGAGGAAAAAAATCATCCCACCATGACTTCTCATGTGTGAGCCAGGCTGCTCAATAATCCAAAAAGCAACACTTAGAACTCCTCGTGAAAAATGGAAGCATGGCTACACTCTGAACTGGAATAATTCTATACAAGAAAAGGAAATGCTCCCCAAAAGATCTATCCTACTTTGCTACTTACCCTAATGAAGGAACACTTGCTACCCTGAGGAATAACCAAGGTGGCTAAGTCCCTGGAAGATTTCCTGTTTTGTGCCTTGAACTGAATATTGTTCCTCAAGTGACATATCAGCCAGCATTTTAACAATGAAGATGATCAAAAAAAGCACAAACTAAATAGTAAAGAAAATACTTTGGTTGATTATTTCTTGTTAAATATATTTAAGTTAGCTGTCAATGATTTCCCCAGAAGCCTTGCCCGCACGAACTGGCTGGTTTTGCACTCTCAAGAATATTAGACTTTACGAAAAAGGAAATGTGTGACAGAAGCACTGCAGCATCCTAAGACATATTAACAATGCCCACGGGACAGTGTAATGTACCCACTGCCAACAACGGACACTGTGGCCTCACTGTAATAAAGCAGCAGCATTTTAAAAATATAAGCCATGCTCCTCCCAAGGGCACGAGCTTGAAGCAATAGTAGTAAAAGCCAAGTTTTGTTTTGCTGTTTACAACACACCATTTAGGGCTGCCATGGCCACTTCAGTTTGTGAGTACAAAGTCATTGTGTTTTTGCTAAGCAGTCATTAAGTGTTTCGTTCAAGAACCAAGGCCTCTGAGCCACAGAGTTCGGAGATGTGTGCCCATCTACAAAATGACATGGAAAGCATTCAGTCTTCGGTCTCTTCATATGTAGTCTCATCAAAAGGTCGGTCAAGAAGAGGTACTGATCGATGACGGGAATATTTCAACAGCAACAAGTCTCCAACTTCACCTATTTCCTTTAAAGCCTGGGGGAAAAGGGAAATACCAAGTAAAAGAGGAAAGGATGAGAACCACTTGTCTAACAGAATTGCAGTTTAAGCTCAATTTCTGTGCCTCATTTCATGAGGAAATTATACAAAATGATTTACAAACATCTATTCAACATGGAGAACAAATGTACTCAATTGTACTGAATAAACTCAGTCTGTCAAAAACATATTCTGTACTGCCATGCAAGAGCAAGATTTGTTATTGGGATATGAAATTTAGCATCCTCAACGAAACTTCCATTTTCATTTCAAGATGACAAAGTTCCAGCTCCTTAAGAGATGCGAAGACAGCTTTAAAATTATATGGGCCATATCCCCTCAGATCTCTGAAGCTAATAGTCAGAGAAGCATTAGGTCATCTAATGTTTGCTGGTATGAAGTTTCACTGCCTTACATAGCTCCATTCATGTCCCATGATTAACAGACAAGGAATATAACTAAGGAAAGGAAGGGAAATTATCACTTAATTCTTTGTGCGAAATTTGAGTTATTACCTGGGGACAGAATTTTTATTTTACAAAGCATGTATAATTCTTGCTCCCTATTTACACTTTTCACCGGTTCAGTGGACAGAAGTTAAATTTGCTCTAGTGATTCACAAAGCATCTTTTCCAGTCTGGAGTGTCTGCACCTTGTGTTTGGCCAGTGGGACAGACTGGGGATTCTGCAGATTGCAGCCATCCTGCATCCCATCAGTTTTCCTACCTGAGCTGGCAGAGGTGGTCTTGGATGTGATGTTGGAGTCCCCAGGCTATTGGTTCTGGGAAACTTTAACATTCATGCTTACAGCACCTTATTAGTAGCAGCTCAAGATTTCATGGCAGCCATGAAAACCATGGGATTGTCCCAACATGTCATTGGCTCAATGACTGTAGCAGAGCATACTCTAGAGTAGGTTTTCTCAGCTGCATATGAAGATGGTACTCTGGGTGTGGGAGAGTTCAATTTAGCCGCTTTGCCATGGTCAAACATCACCTGCTAAGATTTAGCATTGCCTCTGGAGGCTGTAGTTCCAAGAGTTCTGCCAGCTCCTTTATTATTCTGGGATGAAGTTCATCAGGCCCTGGAGAGATGAACTAATTCAACCTAATTAGATTATCCTTGATCATTTGCATGTCAATCTAGAGATGCCACCTTGTTCCTTCAGTCTGGACCTCCCCTTCATCAGGAAGGTCTTTTTTTTTTTTTTTGACACAACTGAACCAGAATTGGAATTCAGCACTTCTACCTTTTCTTTGTCATATGTTATCATTTTGTCTATCAGCTTTGGCTGGTGGCCCAGCTATGCCCCTACCTGGACAGGGATAGCCTGGCTTTGGTTATCTACACTTTAGTAATCTCTAAATTGGATTGCTACAATGCACTCTACATGAGGCTGCCCTTGAAGATGGTCCAGAACCTGTAGCTGCAGAATACTGCAGTCAGATTAATAACCAGAATCTGCAGCCTGATCATGGAAGAGCAGTTCTGGCCTGCTTGCATTGGCTGTCTATAGGCTTTGGGGCCCAAATCAAGTTTTCACCTATAAAGCCTTAACAGCTTAGGACTGCAATACCTGTCAGAGCACATCTGCCAACAGGGATTTACTTGGACACTATGCTCAATTTCACAGCTTTCCTCCGAGTGCTAACCATGAGGGAAATCTGGAGGGTGACAACAAGGGGCTTTTTCTGTGATGGCTCCCCATCTACAGAATGACTTCTCGACCATGGCTCAGCTGGCACCAGATTTGCCACTTTTTGCCACTAGGTTAAGATGGCCCTCTTTTTTGAGGCCTTGAAAGACTTCCTTGGCCACCCAGGAGCTTGAGGGGTTAGTGTTCTGTTTTGCAGAGTAATTTTTGCTATTGTCTGCTTTATGTATTTAAAACCTTTTAATGTTTTTTCCCCTCAATTTTATGACATTTTATTGTATTTTTATAGTCTGTGCTTACTGACTGTTGTAATCTGCCTAGAACGCTTCAGGAGTGGGGCAGTACAGAAATGAAATAAAGTAATAATAATTTATACTGAGCTACTTCTTTAAAGTGCTTGTTCTTGCCCTCCTCATTCTAAGGACTCCTTTACACATTTCATCAGGCTTACCCAACCTGGTGTACTCCAGCTGTGTGGAGCTACAAATCCCACTGGCCCTGCAATCCAGCAGCTCTTATTTGCTCACAACCTATGTGGCCTTAATAACTGACAGTGTAAAGTGAACAAATGACCCCCACATACCATGAAACCTTTAGGTAGGGACATCATTTTGGAAGAGACCCTACTCATTAAACAAAGGCCCCATGTACTCTGAACTGGAGGGGGGCGCAGGGGAAAAGAGGGACAAGGGTAGGCATTGACAAATACGTTCTAACAAGGAGTACTTTTTAAGTGGAACTTTGGCAAAAAGAAACATATGGAAATAATTTGAGGTTAAATTTCTGTTGAAAGAGTCTATTAACTGTTATTCTTGAACTCAGATTTAGGATTTTATTAATTTAAAACAAAAAGAAGCATGTGACTTGCAAGGACTACAAAGGAAATGGCACTGGTGAACTCTGACTTCAGGAAAGTGTAATATATTTTTCATCACTGAAAAGAAAGCACCAGCCCACAGAGATGCAGATTAGGAGGGACTGTGCTCTGATTGAGGGCCAAAGTATTTTCAGGCAAGGAAGTTCTATTTACATAAAGCAGTTATATATTGTACCCATCATATGGGCTGATTTAATAAGAAAGCATTACAAATCTCAGGTGTTGCATGCATTTCTAACAGGATCTGGGGAAGGGAAGGGAAGGGAAAGGAGGTGAAAAGCAGAAGCAGGGAGATGTTCCCTTTCAAAAGCATCAGATATGTGTGGACAACCTCCACATGGTGTGTTCAGTTTAGACTCTGGAAACCTTCTCCACTGTTCCATTTGTCATTTAGTAAAGGTCTTCAGATACGATGACCAGTGCTCCAACCACACCAGGCATGTGTGGCTTTATTCAGAAAGAATGTTCACAACTCTATGAGGCTCACAATTCTTACCTACAGGGTTGTACAAATATTCTGTTTGCATTCAAGAGGAGAGCTTGCTCCAAATGTGAGATATTTTAAGGCAAACTTGCATATTCCTGGGTTTTATTTCCACATTCCTGAGCAAAATGCATTTGTTAGGAACTGTGCATTTCAGGAAAAAATACACATTTTCATTCTTTAGCTAATGCAGGAAGGTCTTCCTTTGGGTGTGTACTTTAAAAACTGGGCATTTTTCCTGCCTGGGAGATAAAATAGCTCACAATTAGGTACAAAGTAGACCAAGATTCTAAGTGGGCTCTGTTAAGCCATCTTTTCGGGATGTATCTATGTTTAGAGAGTGGATGTACCTAGCAGTACATCCAGTTCCTGCAACCCAAATCCTGAATTAGTCCTGTGGTCATCTGGCAGACCACATAAATTCAGGCTGAACCTTTCTGTGGTCCCAGATGACATGCTAAAGCAGGGGTCCTCAAACTTTTTCACCAGGGGGGCAGTTGAAAGCTGCTGGGTGTGGGCCGGAAAGGTGGTGCTGGCGGTGTGCATGCGCTGAAGCGGTGGTGGGCGCATGCAGCGAGGGGAGGCGAGGTGCGGGCGGGGGCGGGCACACACCGCAAGGCGTGTGCATGAGGCAGCGGGTTGCTTGCTTGGAGATTGTTTTCTTTGAGTGAGCAAACCGCTGCCTCCCCGTGCGCAGGGCGAGGTGGGTGGCGGCAGGCGCGTGTGTGCACAGCAGGTCCAAATGGGCATGGCGGGCCGGAATTTGAAGACCCATGTGCTAAAGTATTTCTTTGCAGCATGTTTTTCTTTTCCATATTGCTGTTCCCCATATTTCTAGTTTGGCACTATATTGACAGTCTAGAAACAAGACAAAATCCTGCACAGTGGTGCTCTGCTAAATATTTCCACTTTTTAAGACATCAGACTAATGTATGATGGAAATCCTGTGCCACCAGTGAAAAAGCTGTGCATTTACTTAACTGGATTTGCCATTTTTCAGGTCCATGGAAGACATCTGAAAATCTGAATAAATTGAATTATTTGTCCTTCATCAAAAATCTACTTCTTCCATTAAAAGTGTCTTCAACTGTCATTTCGTACTGTATAACTAAGTATATACTCAGTTGTATTTGTCTGCACTCTCTTCAGCATTCTGATTCTTTCAACTGTGTATGTACATGTGCACACATATGCATTACCTCTACTCTTGCACAGATACAGCGTTCTTTGTATAAATACAAACAAAGATGATTCAAAGAGCAGTACATTCAAATTAAGAATTTTAACTCAAATAAATAGATGGCAGGTTTTAAAAAACAGATTAGAGCTTCTGGAGAAGTCAAAAGCCAAAGCTATAGAATTCTCAGCAGTTGCTCAGGTCTGTAGGAAGCTTTGACAATATGATAGAAACTTTGCTATTGTTCAACTAATAGTGTGTAAAAACACAGCTCTCCCATCTGCAAACTGAAACATGCCATTGACTGCAAATCACTTCAGCTCTTTCCAAATGCAGCTATTCAACCCCTGTTCATCTACATCAGGGCAAGTCTTCCAATTGCTTCACTTCTTTCAGCCAACTCTTTAAAGAGGCTAACTATTAACTGAAGAGCACTAGTTGCATAACACCATCAGTACAGAATCTCTAGCACCAAGCCAAGCAACTGACTGGCTCAGATTAGGAAATGCTCTTTCGCAATTCCAAGAGAATGAAAAAAGAATGAGGAAAGCAGAATTATGAAAGCACTGTTGTGATCTAAACACAACACAACACTCATGCAATGTGACTCTGCTCAGAAGGTTGTCGCTCATGTCCAGTTGCTATGACTGGATACCTTTCAGGCCCAAGTTGACTTTCTTTTGTTTTTAGGGTAGAAGAAACAGAAACAAACTCAGATACTTACAATATCAAGCATCTCTCTGGTATGAGATGCAGACACACAAAATCTGGCTCTGGATTCAATGATTGGAGTGGCAGGAAAACCCACAACCACAACACCTATATGCCGTTTCAACAGCTCTCGTCCAAATGCACTGCAGAGGAAGTAAGACAAGATTAATGAAGCTGCAACTTAAGGCCTATATTGCTTGGTGCAAGGGGGCCTTTGGTGAAGAATGCCTGGGAGGCCACTGTTCTGTCTGCCTTGCCTTGGAAGGAGAATGCCTGCATACAAAGGCCTCTTTTGTTCAGTCCTGAGGTGGTCTTTCTAGAAAGGTTTCACTGTATTAAGTTCTTGAAAAGTTGAAAGATTGTATTTGGCAGAGGCTGGTCTTTTAGCAGGCTACTTTTTAAATGAATTTGTAACTTAAACGTAAAAGTCTTTTTGATAGAACACAGCAACCCCAGCTTGGAAGCTCAATTTCCAAGAATTCCACTGCCCAACCCCCCAATGCAGACTGCTATCTGAATGGAAGGCCTGCACTGTTAAAAATATTCAGGATCCCGTGTCCTGCAATTCCACAAAGTTGCAAACAAACAAAGTAGAATGTGATCCTGAATAAAGATTCAGCTTCCTGTGAAGTAGAGTCTAATCTTCAATATGAGAAGTTGAGTACTTTCATGCCCTTGCCCTTATTCCACATGCACAAAAAGTCTCCTTGTCTCTCATCTCTATGACTGGCAATTTTGCAGGGTCTAAACTGGCAAGGGAACAGATTCCAATTGTTACTGTTTTTGCTGTTGCTAAATAGTTACAGTCTTCCCATACAACTTACCCAATTTTTGCTGGCATATACAGCATCAAAGGTACAACAGGGGAATCTTCATTTCCATAGATGATAAAGCCCATTTGCTTAAGTCGCCTTCGGAAATACCTTACATTCTCAGCCAACTGCTGTACACGCAGCTTTCCTGAAAGAGAAAATTAAACAACTGTTTAATTTTTATTAAGTCTTTATCAAATTATTCAAAACATTATGATACCAACTTAGGTAGGAATAGCTTAAAAAATGGACACTTAATAGCTAATAGCTTGAGTAAAGAGCAAAGCTGAATTACAAGAAGTCAGCATCTCCTTCAAAGTGGCCAAGACTACACTGAATTGAGGATCTAATGATGCATGTTCAAATTCTTTTTCTCATAATAACTAGGCTAGCATTAAAATTTGGCTGTGAATCATAGGCAAATAGTAAAGATATTCTACATTGTTAATAGCCAGTCCTCAAATATGCATGAAAGGAAAGAGCTAATTCAAGATGCAAAAGAAATTTCCTGTTTGGGGGTATCAACTTTTCCTTAGATATAAACACACTGACAGGATAAGATTAAAATGGTAGACAAGGCGGAAAAAAGCTTCAGGTAAAGTTAAACGCTTAGGCTTCTGAGCAAATCGGAAGTTTTCTTTCTAGGTTGGAATGAGCCAGGAGTGATTTAAGATGATACCAGAACTGTAGAATAATAAATTCACAAGGGTGCTAATTATAACTAGTATGTTCACAATTGCTCAAGATTTATCACGAGCTGGATTCCACAGTTGATAGGGTTCCATTACGGGAAGCATCCAGAGCCCTGTCTAATCCATCATTGTTGCATGAGTTCCAGTTGATGCGGCCTGATGATGCGGACAAGGTGCTTGGACTGATACACCCTACCACCTGCTTGCTTGACCCTTGCCCTTCTTGGCTACTTACCAAAGCCAAACACGGAATTGGTTCCTGGGTCCAGAAGGTTATTAATGCTTCTGTGAGGGAGGGTCGGGTCCCTGCTCCTCTGAAGGAGGCTTTGATCAGACCCATCCTGAAGGAGGTGTCCTTGGACCCCAGAGGTGTCTGCCAATTATAGACCAACGGCCAACATCCCGTTTCTGGGCAAGGTGTTGGAGTGGGTGGTGGCGGGACAACTCCAGGCACTCTTGGATGATACTGATTATCTGGACCCATTTCAGTCCGGATTCAGACCTGCTTATGGTACTGAATCTGCCTTGGTTGCCCTGCATGATGACTTGTGCAGGGAGAGGGACAAGGGGAATGTGTCCCTGTTGGTTCTCCTGTACCTCTCAACGGCTTTTGATACCATCGACCATGGTATCCTGGATAGGCTGGCCTCTTTGGGAGCAGGAGGCACCCAAAGCTCATTCCAGAAGGTGATGCTGGGGGACTATGGCTCTGTGCAATGGCAACTTTGCCATAGAATACAATAGGATTCCATTTTGTCCCCTTTGCTATTTAATATCTACATGAAACCACTGGGAGAGGTCATCTGGAGGTTTGGGCTGAGGAGTCACCAGTATGCTGATGACACCCAGCTCTACCTCTCTTTGATAACTAATCCAAGTGAAGCAGTGGCTGTCCTGAACAGGTGACTGGCCGAGGTAATGGGCTGGATGAGGGCCAATAAACTGAAACTCAATCCAGATTAGATGGAGGTCCTTTTGGTAGGTGGTTCAGGTTTTCAGGTAAGTGATTTTTGCCCTGTCCTGGATGGGGTTGCACTCCCTCTAAAGGACAGGGTCCACAGCTGGGAATGCTCCTTGACCTGGAGCTGTCCCTGGAGGCCCAGGTGGCAGCAATGGCGAGGAGCGCTTTCCTTCAGCTGATCCATCAGCTGAGTCCTTGCCTGGATGAGCACTGCCTAGCAGTGGTGACACATGCTCTGTTAACTTCCTGGCTGGATTACTGTTAACGTGCTCTACATGGGGCTGTCCTTAAAGATGGTCCAGATACTTCAGTTGGTTTAAAACAGAGCTGCCAGATCGCTGTCTGGGGCCGGTCAGTATTCTCATATAATACTAGTCCTCTATCAACTTCACTGGCTTCCAATTGAAGCCCAGGCCCAATTTAAGGTGCTGGTATTGACCTATAAAGCCCTAAATGGCTTGGGACCAGGATACCTAAAGGAACATCTTTTTCCCTATATGCCCACCCGCCCCTTAAGATCTGCAGCAGAGGCCCTGCTCCAGGAACCCTCCTTGAAGGAGGTTAGGCAAGAACATACTTGGAGGAGGGCCTTCTCTGCAGTGGCGCCCTGGCTATGGAATACACTCCCCAGAGAGGTCCACCTGGCACCAACATTATATGCTTTTCGGCACCAGGTCAAGACCTTTTTATTTTTCTGTACTTTTAATGTTTAATTTTAACTATGATTTTATGCTCAGTTCACAGATTATTTGTATTATTTGGGTACATATGTATGTATTGGATTTGAATTTTAAGTTGTTCAGAGGCCTGCTGGGTATTGGACAGGGTAAAAATACCCAAATAAATATATATTTTTACAATTGCACAGCTTATATACGATTCAACAAAGTAACCATGTGGTGAACAATAAAAGATGATCATACTATTAACAAGTATAAGCTTTAAGCAGTACTCTGCTCAAATACTCATGATGGCAACCCATAGGAGCATTTGTTTTTAAGTGGGTTGTGAGGCATGAGCCACTGCATTCATCAAAGCAAAACACATACCAAATTCTATCTCACAAACAAGCAAGGGAGGAGGCCTGCAAAAACACTGTTAGTCCTTTGATGAGAAACTAGTTTCACTGCAGGCTACTTAAGTTTGAAACCAAAGTAATCACCTGCAGAAGACAATAGTAGAGGGAAGAAAATTCTTAGAAACAGGCATCTCAACCAAACATCTGTTTTATAATTATAGGACACCTTGACTTCCTGTTTGTAGGGCTTGCAATTATATTGCATGCATTGCATTATATTCTGTGTATATTTCTATCATCAACTGTGTATGACAATATTAAAGGTCTACTTAACAAATCAGCAAGTTCGTTTACTACACTACTTAACAAATCAATAGGTGTTTTCAGGGTGACTACAGCAATTGCTCTGAAGTTACAAGCAACTGTTTCTTTATATAACAATGTACTCATGAATGAGTTGACCTTGCTGATAAAATCAATCTTTAATCATACAGCATAAAGTTCACAATACTTCAGAACTTGAGATGCTACGTAACATATGAAAAAAAGGCTAGGAGAAAAAACTTCTGCCTTGAGTCACAGCATGGATTTCAGAGATTCTGCAGAAGCAGGTAGCAGTTGAATGTAAAGGAATGCTGGCTTGATAAGCTGAATGTATAGAAATGGCAAATAGGAAGGCGTTTGTGTACTTGAAACAAGATTTGCAAGTCCTGGATGAGGCATTTAAAATACAGTGGTACCTTGGCTCATGAACTTAATCCGTTCCAGGACTCTGGTTGTGATCCAAATTGGTCATGAGCCAAGTTAAATGGTCCCATAAGGTTCGATGTAAATAAGGTTAATCTGTTCTGTAACTATTTTTTTTTAAATCAGAAAAATGTGAAGCAAAGTGACAAAGAACAACAAAGATCACTGCCATTTCCTCCTGCTGAGCACGAGTGCGGCCATCTCCCCCCCACCTCACCCAGCACAACCGTGATCGCGCCCATCATCCTGGTGCGCTGGGGGGGGGGGAGAGACGGGCGCAATCGTGGGTGCGCTGTGGGGTGGGGAGATGGGGCGCAAATGTGGATGCGCTCGAGAAGGAGACGGACGTGATCGTGCTGGGGGAGGAGATGGCCAAGATCGCAGTTGCTCTCATGCAAGAAAGACAGGCGCAATCATGGGTGTGCTCATGCAGGAAAGATCTCGGCCATCTCCCCCCCGCCCCCAGCATGATTGTGGCCATCTCCCCACTTTGGGAGGTGGGGAGATGGCCACGATCGCGGTCACCACCCAATGCGGAGTTTGCAACCTGAGTCAAAATCTTTATGAAATTTTTGTTCGCAACCTGATTTGGTCATGAACTGAGGCACCACTGTTTGTGAGCCAAGGTACCACTGTATTGTTTATTGCCACAATGAAAGATTTTGTGACACTTTTAAGCACTTAAGTGGCAGTTTTCCTGTCAAAAGTCCCAAAGCCAAGCATTGTCCCCATGATAGGACTATCAAATATCAATCAAAGCTGGTTCTTACCAGTTTTACCATTTTTTTTCCTCAGATCAGTTTGGATATGCATCACAAACATTTAATTGTATTGTATTTTTTCCTCTCAGTGGTTATGGTAGATTGGAAATACCATAATGGTTCAGCAAGATTGCAAGAATTTTTCAACTCATTAGCTTAAGCCAGTTTTGCAATATAATAAACCAAGCATTTCACTGTTTCAGTTATAAAACTACATTGCTACTGTTAATAATTTACATTGGTACACCATTTTTATTGATGAAAAGCAGTGTGCTAATTACAAAATAGCAAAACTATCTTCCTCACCATCACCAGCTCTATAGTCTAGACCAGAGGTCTTCAAACTTAAGATTCCCGAGAAACTCTTCTCAATGTGAAAAATTAATATGAAACCAACTAATAAATCCATTTCCTGTAATACATTTTCTCTGAACAAATAACTGTAACATTTCTTGTAATGTAAACAGAAGCTGTTTATAAATGCACGAAAGAACCCATTTACTACTTAGTAACTAAATAATACTAAGGTTTATTCAATACATATTAAATGTTGGTATAACATCACTAACAAAATTATACTTCATTTCAATAACTTGGACGTGCCTTTTTTGCTACAGAAAGCCAAAATTTGGTGTTATTGATGACAATTGTAGGTACATTTCTGGTTCTGCAGCCACTTTATTCCTGTATGATCATTATTCCTTGCAATATGAATCTATTTGAATGAAACCACTTTTGCTTTAAAACAAGTAAATATGCTTTTAAAGGTGTGTATGTAAAGGCCCCGAATTAAAATGAAGACCTTATCTTGTCAGAGATGTCTCTTTTAAATGAAGCAAAGGAATGAAGATCTTACAAATTCACATAAAAGTAATCCCTGGATTATTTTTATGGAACCCGGGGGTTCCAGGAACACAGTTTGAATAATAATATCTCTAGGTCTAGATTTCAAATATCCTTTAAGCTACA